AACATTGTGTTTCAGTGACACAGGAAATGAAATGGCTAGTATTCAGAACAGAGACAGAACTACAATGAAAGCAAAACCATCCCATTGCTGTTAAACGCAGGGGATTCTGGGAGTGTGGCATGGCAACCTGTGTCGTCTTTTCAGATCTTTTTGGGAACCATGTGTCCGATCAAATCCATTTATCACAGGGCTAGTCACCTTTAATCCCGCTAAAAGAAGAATTGGATGAGCAATACGATTTTGCCAATGCTGTTATGTAATTTCAGGGCAGCACGGTGGCACCATCGCCTCATTTCTCCAGGGCTGAGCGTTTTCCCACTGCTGCTTGGTGCTCCTGGAGATTTCATGTTCACCCCATATCATTCAAGTTTCCTCCCACCGCCTGAAAAATAGGAAGTTAGACTATGTTGTGTCGCTATATTGCTCTTACTGCATGATTGCACGCGTGCATGTATGCGCCCTGTCATGGCTGGCATCCCAGCCAGGGTGGACCCCAGCCTTGTGCGTGTTTGATAGGTTCCCGGCTCACCAGGACAAGTACATAGAGGATGGAAGGATATATGATGATTTGTTGATCCCTGAATTTTTTCTGATTCTGGCGTCCATTTAACACCCTCATAAGTTACTCCAGGATTGCTGGAGGATTCTGCAATGACAGCTGATTAAAATCTTTTTTTAGTTTTAGTGAAAGGATTAAATCTTAGTCTATTCATTTGTAGTCATTTTAATATTACTATAATGTGTAATTAATTCATTTTACCTTGTTAATTCAGTGATTACATGAGAAAGTATCCGCTGAAGTGTAAGTAATATTTAAGTTGCAAAAATGTAAACTTGAATGCATCTTTACAGAAACTAATTCAGTAATTAATGGGTGAATGAACAAATACTTATTATTGTGTAATAATGACAAGGCTGTCAACTTGTGCCCATCCCACATTAGTAAAAGTTGTTAGACTGGCTACTCCTTATTAATAATAATCTCATGTACATATAATAGTGTTAATATGTTGCAAATTGTTGTGTTTTATATTGACATACATTTTGTCATAACACCGTATTTTCACCATTGTCCCAGATTCATCTGCCATGAAGGATAGTGAATTTATAACAGTATTTTCAAATATCTACTGTAACATCTGCTTCACGGCTGTGTTTAAAGTCTGTCCCTTTCCAATCCTGAGAGGCTTCTACTGGAGTAATGGATTTTGTACTTCAAAGATAATAATTAACTGCTTACACTTTAGTAATTTCAGTAAAATATTGACAGGCAAGATGGAATAAAAGACAACAGGCCAATTTGTTGTCGTTTGATTTTCATTACACATTCACTAAACACTAAGTGCATGTGCTCCCTGGAAATGTAATAGGAACATGTTTAGCTAGGGAGTTCAGGACGCTATGTTAAAATATGAAACTCATACATGCACAGTCTAATTCATTTATGACGGTGTAAAACTTGCCTCTGATTATGTTGGCCATGTAATTTCCCTTATTGTGAGTAATAACATTTCTTTGTGATAAATAATTTCCAGGTGAAAGAGGAGATGAGTTTTTAAAGAACGGTCTTTCACAGTCCAGTCTGGATCCCTCTTTAGACACTCGATTCTGAGCTTAGCATGTGGTATCGTGGCCATCACCGGCTAGAGTGCGTTCTCTCTGGACATCTCCTGGGCTCCGCATCAGCACGGAAAGGTCAACCAGTGCAGGCACACGATAAGATCGTCCCTTGGTGGACTTCTGTTCCAGGACATGTCCACTGCCTGGGGACCAGGGACAGTCCAAGAAATGGACACTGCAATCCCCAATAATAAGGACGGGAAACCTAGACTTCCCTGATCCTCCCATAGCCAGAACCTAGACCACAAAACAGACAGATAATTAGAAAAATAAAATAAAAACTCAAATTAAATATTAATTAATGGTTATTAGCTAACTTTCATATGTTGCAATATTAATATAGTAAATTCACTTTGTTATATCTCTTTAGGTCTTTGTTGCAGTCAGGGGACTTTGTTGCAGATTGAAAGTGTGTCAGTGCAGATACAAGTAAAACGGCAGAAATAAGCCAGGAAGGATTTTCTTAACCTGTATTCTTAACTCTAGGTTGAACATTGCAATTTTTTACCACAATTATATTTTCTAGTTTAGTTCAAGTTGGGACTGTATTACTCATTCCATTAGAATGTTTTTTTTATGCATTTTGTAGTGAGTTTAAGTTTGAGTTCTTTTCGGTTGAAGATTTCTTTCAGTCTGGAAGACATACATGGTGAGCTTCCAGATTTTATGCGGCTCGGTGGGTAACCATGGGGCTTCACACCTCCAAGGTTAGGGCTTCGATTCACGGCTCCGTCCTTGCTGAATTTCCCTCTGAGTACTCCAGCACTCCGCAACCCAAAAACATGCAGTTGGGTGAAGCCACCCTGCAGGTGCCTGATTTGCTAATTATTCAGAGAACGAAACGCTAACTGTAATAAGACAACAACGTTTTAATCCGCCAAGTACTTCATAAATTCAACGCGACTGTTTAAGTGTACTGCACAATCACAACCTTAGAACGGATCACGTCCAGCACACAGCTCCAGTAATGTGCTATGCTCTCAGCCACCCACTTCTTTCATTCTCCGTGTTTCATGAAATGATGTAACACACCCAAGGGGTTCTACTCCACCTCTTAGCCGTGTAGAGCATTGACAGAAAGGAGAAACTGCCCATCCAAACTCATTCAACGGCATTCAACAGAAAACAAATTTACAATCTCTGAGCCCCCTCTCACTACAGTGGGGCCCAGATACAGACCCCTTTATACCTTACGGTGCTTGATGCACCATCAGACAGACGTTATTTCTGCTTAATCCCAGCACTTTAATCCTGAACTCTACGGTTGATGCTCGTGATATTTTAGGCATGGATTAACATGAAACCAGTATTCCACTCATTAAAAATAATATTGCCTTGCCTCATAGCTTTCCATGCCTTGGCTCTTCTAAACTGAGAGGCGAGGAGAGCATTGTGTCGGGGGTGCATGGACACCACGGATAGGCATCTGCAGCTGCAGTGCCACTTCCCATTCAACCCAAAGAATATGACAGAATATTGTAAAATACAGTGAAAACCACAACTATAGAACACCACTACTTAACAACTTCTAAAATCTTCTGCAGTAATACTTTTGCAAGGTGTCTTGGTAGATGTCTTTTATGACACCTATAATTTAAGATGTTTTAGTGAAGAATAGTATAGAATAGTGGTTGTAACAATGCAGGATAACATCTGCATTGAAATGAAACTTAATACATTAAAACAATGGCTCATTACCCATAACACTGGTTTGGTCTGGATTGTTTTAACAAGTTTTACAATTATATGGTACATCAGTTATTATACAAGTATTCTGAAACTCCACCTGATGTTATCATATTTATTCTCTTGCAATGCAAGCCCGCTAATAAGTATATAACAATAAGTAATGAATTACACTTTGCAACAAGTATATGCGTTTTAATGATTGAACCAGTGAGCCACTCCATGATTTCCATGAAACCATTTTAATGCTACTTAAATTGATGGACTTTCAGGTTATCCAATCAGTGATCGCAAAGCGTCAAATCTGCGTTCGCTCCAGTTACGCGGCCAATGAAATCTGTCCTGAACCAAATCCAATGACAATGCAAATAAACGGAGTTCGTACGTGAGCCATGTTGGTAGGGTAAGTTATTTATAGTCATCCCCCTAAATATTGTCTCTCGGCATTTCAATTCCTAGTATGTTCTGCTTACTTTTATACTTGCATCAAGTTATGCGCTCACTGCATTGAAGGCACAATATATGCTCTACTCTGCTTTCAAGTGATATGCCGCCACTAGTGCGTCGAGTTGCGTCCATTTTTGTTGTGGCACAGTCTGCTTAGCCAGCTATTGAAGATATTGTAGCTAAGGTAACCGTTCGGATTCGTATTTCGTGGTGCTGTAAAATGCCAAAACGCGCGCTGATCGCGAAGAAACATGAGGAACGTGGTTTTTAAAATGATTTTTATTTTATTTTTTTTGCTTTGTGTAACGCCGACCTTCACGTTTTAGCGGCTGGAGAGTTTTTTTTAGAGGTCCTTAATGAGACCGCGCCATGCGCGCTCCGGCGTTACTCACTGGGGACGCTTCCTTCAGACGTGGGCAGGGGGCGGCCCGTTCAGCTGTCCGCCAGCGGACCCAGCTGGAGAGACCCCGAGCCGCCAGCTTTCGCAAATACACATCTATAAGTGATACTGGTGTACTGGATTGCATGTACTGGACTGCAGCGGCCCGTTACGTCGCACAGATGCCGAGTTTGACTTCCCTTCAGAATCCCGAGTTTAATTTCAAGTCCCAAGTTTTCACGGTTTGTACTTAAGTGAGTAAACACCACGAACAAAACCCAACTTTACCGTAGCGACCCCCGCTATGAATAACCAAGCACACGGAAGCCAGAACTGGGGGTTTATTTCCCGAAACAAGCGCGACGTTCGCTATTTTATTTTGAAAGGCAATAAAAATAAAATGTGGTTTACAAACGAATTGCGTAAATCTCAAAATGCACGAATCACTCAGAGAACAAAAAGCTAACTATGCAAGAGGGCCAATTTTTATTTTTTATCTGGCAGGTATATATTTTAAAGCAGCTGGTGGTGTGTGGAATGTTTTTTAAACACCGGTTCTTGTACTTAGCACGTGTACTAGGTACGCTAATATATTCATCGCGGACCGGCACATTCGCACTGGTTTCACTGTGCTTGGGTGGTTACGTGGGAGCTCTAATCCGGCACTGCACGGCTAAGAACGAACATCGCTCCGCTACAGTAATGAGTCAGAAGGTTAGCCGAGGGGCGTGTCCTCTTAGTTTGGAAATACTATCCATTGTTCCAGCTTAGCGAATCAGAAGCAGACGTCTCTCTAGCGGCTGGCCAATCACGTAGCGATGGCCGCCCCCTGACTCCGCCTATTACTGTATATTAAAGGCTCTCCCACCGCGTGAACTCGCCACTGGCACTTAATAATTGTGTTTTCGTATTGCTTCCAGTGGATTGCTTTTTTTTTATTATATTTTCACCGGGCTCACCATATCAAGCGTTAACGTAGAAAATGGCAGACACAAAAGTAGATACCAGTTCGGACCTTTCCGCCAAGGTAAGGGGAAGCGTAACCGATGTACGAACAATCCTAAGTATTATATATCAGAATTACATTTTATCTTCTTATAACCAACATAACTGATCTTGTAGTACAAAACTAATAGTTGTTGAAAATGCATACAGCCTCCGGCGGATTTCACTAAGAGCATTTATCTGTTCGTCTCGATACTCGGTATCTGCATGCAGGGTAAATAAGTGACATGAAGGACGATTGAAAATGAAGGTTTAACAAGCGCTCTCGTTTGGATGTTAAGGGGAACATGTTTGGAGGCTTTGCTTATTGTCCTGAGTGCAGCAGTCCGCGCGGGTTCTTTGTTTATAGGAGCGTGTCGGTTCCTCTTTGAACGCGGACGCCGTGAGCCGGAGCTGCGCGTTCGCTTCGCACATCGCCAGTTAAATTTAACACGTTTGGGGATTTTTTCCCTCCACTCTTTCTCTCATCGAGTTGTACATTTGCAGGACGGAATTTCACAATATGTGCTCGAGTTCCGAAATCTGGAAACAAAAATGATAGCTCAATTGTTTTTTCTTAATTTGTTTTATATAGGAAATGCGAAGTAATCCTTCATATGTTCATTTTTTTGCTTTTGTATCTACATTTTTTTTTAAGTGTGGTGTTTTCTAAGGAGGCTTACTGTAGCAGTGGTGGGTGATTTTTTTCCGAGAATAGTTTACGAGTTGACAGTACGATTCTATGAATGACACCGGTTAGTCGGGAGAATGTGATTTACTTGTCGAGAAACTTAGCGAGCCCGGTGCTGCGCATACTGCCGCTCGGATCGCGGGTTCGCCGATTGGCTGGTTTATTATAAGAGTGTTTAGAACCGTCTCGCGGCGCGAACCCCCCGGCGGAAAAGCGGGCACCTCCGTCGCGCGTTTGGAGCCAATAGGCAAGTTATCCGGAGCCTCTTGGAGGATCTGCCTGGTGTAAAGTGCGATTCCGGGCGGCTGTGGTTTCGGAGAGCTTTCATTCAGGCTATTTAGGTTCTATTTAAACTTTTTATCTGGAGGGAGCTTCGGCAGCCGCACGATAGAGTATTTTGGGTATTTTTTGCGCTGATGATGGTCCTGATCGGAATCCGGCTTCGGTCGAAATCGCGCTGCATGGCGAAGGTTAATGCCCAGTTTTTTTTTGTTGTTGTTTGTTGTTGTTCAGACAAGAGTGCGAACGGCAAATAACTATTAATACAGTCCCAATATACTGGCTGTAGGTATACTGTAAGTTTTTACTGAAAGTAATTTGATGTCTACCTATAAAGCCTTTCGGAAGGAGGGGGCTCTTGGAGAAGACTATCGTGCGGATCGATCGGTTACGCTTGACGGCGCAGATCCAAGTTCAGTTTTATAAATGGGGTAATGGCACGGCGACCCATTTTTCAATCCGCGATGTGGTATCTGTGAGCCCTGAGGCATCGCCGACGAGCCGCGTAGTTCTTTCCTCTCGAACAAACGGGGTCTGAATGCCTAGCGCTCGCCGCTCGCTTCTGCACGCTGGATTATTTATAGGAAATAGGCAGTGAAACCTATGTAATGGCATCGATGGTCGCGGCAGCCGGTAAACGGCTTAAAAGCTATGGATTACATAAACTGATTAAAACGATTTATTTCAGATACTTTTATTTCTGCTAAAAAGACGACGTGTGGTATCGCCGGAAAAATCGATATTTAAAAATACAGTTTGTGAAATATGTACGGGAATACTATTTCTTTTGCTCGGTTCTTTGCCAGAGAATAAGTAATTTAGTGTGACCTAAATACTTCATACTAGGAGAACGTGACTCCGGCTCTGACCTTAATAAGTTCTTGGCGCTTTAAAAAAGATATTACGGGTGAATCAGAGACCTAAATTGGGATGAAATGAGTGTATGCTTTCGTCGCTATTGTCCCCCTTCACTCTAGTGACTTAACCAGCCTCTTTCTGGTTGTCTGCATTGGTGCTCGTTTGCTGTGTTTAAATCGGGCAGTGCACTATGGGAGTTGAGGTGTTTTCCCCGGGCGTGTCTTCTTCAGAGACCTATGGCGTGCAGGAAATTGAACTACAACACCCACCTTATCCCTACATAATCAGAGTATCAGATTACACGGCTTCTATATCTATTGAAGTAGGCGGGGTTCCGAGTATAGCCGCGACCAATGGGATGTTAATGATGGAAGTGTCGCATTTCAAATGCAAAACGAAAGCTACCTTTTACGGCGGAGGGGGGCGTTGATGAATCTGAACGCGCTCCTCGTCTTTCTCCGCCACTGAATGGTAAGCGCGGGTGGTTGTTCGCTTTTGGCGAGCCCCACTTCGCCGAAGTGAGTTTACACTTAGGGGAAGACTAACATTTCAGTTGATAGTTTACTACTTGAGCATCTGGTTCAGTTTTCCGTTTATTCTGCTTCAGGAACTGAAAGAGAAGAAACTTGTGGAAGAGACGGAAAATGGAAAAGAGGCACCTGCCAATGGAAAGGCAGTAAGTTAAACATTCCTTATGCGCGTTTCATTGTGTATTTAATCTGTGCCCCTGCATTTTTAGGCCTTCTGAATGTTCATGCCATGTCTAGTGGTGATCTGTAACTGCTGTTTTGTGCTTTGACAGGAGAATGAGGAGAATGGGGAGCCTGAAGTGGATGATGAAGATGATGATGATGAAGTAGGAGAAGAGGAGGATGAGGAAGATGATGGAGATGGTAGGTTGCTGTGTGGTCTGCTTGGTCTACATCTCCAAAGCTGTACTGTGGAACACAGGGGTGTTAAGCTAGTTCTGTTTTTTAGGTGATGAAGACGATGATGAAGATGAAATTGAGTGTGGCACGAAGCGGGCAGCCGAGGATGATGAAGAGGATGATGAGGTACTTTCTGGTGCATAAATATGTGCATTCAGGAAAACAGCCGGGATGTATTCTGATGTCTGTCCCCTTGCTTCTGCTCTAGGACGACGTCGAAACCAAGAAGCAGAAAACTGACGACGACGATTAAGGAGTTCCCCCAACAACCTGGCAACCCTCAGCGCCACCCGTCAGCCTGTCCCTTGGGTCCAGTGGTGTGTGGCGAGGGGGGGGGGCAAGAAACATGGTCATCTTAAGTAGAGTTCAACGACCGAATTCACCCACCCAACTGCAAATTTTTTAAAAACCAACCAAGACTTCAAGGCTATAAGCTCTCGACTAAATACTTTAAAAGAATTTCTTTGTATTTTTATTTACATTTTATATTTTTGTACATATTGTTAGGAGGTCAGCCATTTTTGACATTGATCTCTGGTGACCAAACGGTGCTTTGAAGTTGATGCTTCTCTAGAAATGAATTATACTTGTCTGACCATGTCATTATCTCAACTGAAACCTGTATAAAATCAAAGGCCGTTGAATTCAGAGCATTCCAGTAAATTTGTTGTATGTACTTTAGTTGTACCATAAGTAGTTGGTTTGTATGGGATGGCAAGGCCAAAGAAAAGGGTTTTTCTTTTCTTTTTTTGTCTACGAAATTGTTTATTGTGGCCTGTTTGTATGTGTGAAGTTTGTTGTCCAACAATAAACCGGAATTTTATTTTGTGAGTTCCATTTTTTTCCCCCCTTATTGATAAAATTGACTGTTTTAAATAAAGAGAAAACAAATAGTTATACCTCCTATTAAAATGGACTTTTGAATATTTGCAGTTGTATTACATTTTTACTTTTGCTGTGTGTATTTTATGCTGCATTTCTGCTTTGACTGATTCTTGGGTCATTTTCCATGTCTAAGCACACTTTCAGTTTTACACAAGTTGCGATTGGAGACGTATGACATGTTAGCAATTCCAGCATGTCATTTTTGCTTTTGTGCTAACTCGACCACTTCGCGCGTAGTCTTGGGATGACAATGCAGTGCATTAGAAGGTTCATGTAGTGACCATCAGGTGCATTTTCATAAAGTCGACTTAGAAGGGGCTGTAATATTCCTGAATGCCAACTATATCAAGCTCGTGGAGAACATGAGACATGGGGTATCAATTTCCTCATTTGCCCCAGTTTTCTATTAATGGCAAATGAATTTTTGAAGACACAACCTAATCAGTACCTGTTTGTATATATTTTGCACGTGTGCCCCATTTATAAGGCTGCGTGTTGGTAGTTGAGAGTCAAGGGCATTTGAGCTGCGGCGCTCCCACAATCCTACATGCTGGCCTAAATTCTAGTATAACCAGAAGTAGAGGAGACTGCAACTTCATTTAAAAAAAGTGATACACGTCGGTGACATCATAGTCCTGAATTAGATCACAGGTACCTAAGAGACATTATGCCATGTAGTGACTATTCTTCAAATCTGCACACAGCCATACCAGAGTGATTTTAGAAACACGGCCATTCAGTCTCATTGACATTAATCCTGAGAGCTTTTCCTTTCAATATGACTAACGAGCATTTCCTGCTGTGCAGTGGTCAGATATCAATCTAATATTCTGCGCAGCGCAACTTCAGAGTTGAGTCTACTGTCTTTCTGTGAGAGAAGTCACAGAAGTCTCTACTGCAGAAACACCTTAAGGCTTCAGAACATGCAGCCGTGTTTCAAAGCATGGGGCAGAATATTGCCTGCTCCTTCTTAATAATGCTTGGCATTCATAGTTATTCTGTATTGTGCTTGTTTAGACAACAGACACCACTCTCTGTGATGCTTGTAGGTCTCTCTTTCATGTGTCTATTGAAAGAGTAGTCTATTTGATGGGACACCTCTGATCAGACTTCAAAGGCGGCACTGACAGAGGTGTCCTATAGCGACTGAGAAGGACTTCGAGTCTGCATGGGTGCACTGCCATCTTCCGTGGACAGGAACGATATCACAGATTACAGTTCGGCAACTATCCCTTGGTTACGATTCCAAGCCCTTGCTGTAGAAAGGATGAACAGCAAATAGCTGTTGCCTGATTACTGAGGTGTACCGGGTTGGGTGTGGGAGGTGGGACGATGTATGTGTGTGTGTGTGTGTGGGGGGGGGTTGCTCTTCAAAACCAAGAGGGGTCATGTTTAAAGACGTGATGAAAAAAAAAACAACAGAGAGGATCTTTCTCTGTAACAACTATACAATGCAACGGTCAGGCTTGTCACCTGACGGGGTGCTAGACCTCGCTCTGTTTGCTTTTTGCCTGCAGTCAAAAGACAGGATTTCCAACCAAAAATGTTTCCAGTTCAAACCGCAAGAAAAGATCTGGCAGGGTGGCCTTAAGAAACACACTTACGCTGAACGACCTTGGCAAAAGCATCCCGTCATATGAATTAGTAAATTGTAAGCTATATTACAGTGATCTATTTAAAGCTGAAGTGTGTTCCTCTAGCCATCCAACAAGAAATCAGTCATTTGGGGGGACTTTTTAAAACTAGTTTCATTTTCACCTATTTATGGCGCTTTCCAGAAGGTAAGCATTTCACATCACCTCCTGGATAAGACCCCAGGCAAAGAAAATGCTCTGCGGTATCGTCTCTTTGTCCTCTTAAGTCGCACTTCAGGCATTCGTGCCTGCAGAATGACAGGGGGCTGACATTGTGACATCATGGTGCTGATGTGTTTCTGAAACTCCAAGAAGCACAATCAGAGGAGGATTCCAGAATGAGTTTTATTGGCTGCAATCAATCAGCAAAACATCCCCCCATTTTGCCCTTTTCATTGGTGCATTTACACTGCTAAGTAGCAGGACATTGTCATTATATTTGTCACACGATCCTCCAAACTAAACTAAAGCTTTAACAACTTCCTCACTTCTTGCCACATTCTTCTTTGTATGGCTCCTGATGACCTGTTAGCCTTTGGCTGCGCCAAACAGACTATTGTCCAGTGAACCAAAAATAGCAACAAAAGCATGACCATGCAGATTAATAGCAGGTAAGCACAAATGTTGCCTCACGTGTAGGTATTTGGTTCACAGTGAGTCCAGGTGAAGTCTGGTCTATTTCTGCTTCTAAAAGAACTTCACTGCTGACTAGCTTGAGTTAGTCTGTTAACTGGTGTCGACTGGTAAATAGACTCTGTTCTGTAACAGGATAACACTGGCGATAACACTCATATGGGGGCACTGGGAGTCTTTATCCAGATATTCTTGTGACACCAGGTTGATGCAGTAGTGCTGGATGAACGGGCACTGTGGGTGATCTGGCACCCCCTCCTGGCTGTTCCGACAAAGAAAACCGTAACGTTATTATTATTTGTCCAAAAAGACTGTTGTTAGTTGTCAATAGCTACAGAATTCAGTGGAGTCTATTGGTCATTCCAACTTTCAGTTCCCTGAGTTTAAAATTGTTGTTGTTTAAAATTGTCCAGTGGCCTGTACTACGAAGCGGGGTTACTGGCTTATCGGGGTAACTTGTCGGATTTAAGGTACCACAGTTTAAATGGACTATATATTCGTTCACTTACATTTTGCCCAGACTACCTTAAATCTGGGGAGCCTGTTTAACAGAACTGGTTAGCATTTAGTCACAGTTTAGCTACAGGCTTGGTAGGTGGGATGATGGGTAGGGCACCAGCCGCATGACTGCAAGAAAGAAGGGTAGCGAGAGGATTTCGGCCATGACTGAGCATAAGCGTGACCTCCTGCCCAGTGTGGTCTGATCCCCCCCCCCCCCACTGCCATGGCCATTCCATTAATAGGTAACCTGCAAGTTTTCAAGAGGAATGATTCAGGCCCCAAATACAAGTCATGGACCACAATATTTTTGTTAATTTAATGTCTTTTAACTGAAAGACCCGTATGGTTTACATTGCAGAACATTTACATAAATGTTTTCAGTTGGTTCTGCCTACAGTGTTCAGAAGGACGGCGTTGGGAATCCTGGGACCAAAACCAGCAACCTTTTAGTCACATATCCTCAACTACTACGCCATCTGCTGGCCCTGTACAGGAAGCAAAAAGAGTGCATGTTGTACATCCCTCATTGCTGTGAGATTGAGTTAGGGTTAAGGTTTGAAATTCTTCAGTATGTTATTTACTAGTGTAACAGCTCCAGTGGTGTAACCTACACTGCTGGTTAGTGGTTTCTGTGTCTAGTCACTATAACCTTTCGGTTACATTAGAAGGAGAAGACTGAATAATATGTCACTTTTTAAAAAAAATGTATAATAATTTTCACTTCCTTAGGACATAGGACACTACTCACCAATATATGTGACATTTCACTGCTGCCGTTTCCAGGTTGAATGCATTCCTTTCTCGTCAAACAGCAAAATTGATTATTCCCTCCCCCTTGATGTGGAGAGCACACTTCACATTGTTACGCCCTCCGTATTCAGCTGGGTGTCGACCGGCGTATTTCAGCTTGGGTCCGTGCTCCGTAACACAATACCAAGACCACCACTGGAGTTACACCCTGCTTACACCTCTCCCACTTACAGTCCTGCGTGCACTGGGTTCACTGGAGTTACACCCTGCTTAACACCTCCCATGCTCTCCCACTTACAGTCCTGCGTGCACTGCGTTTACCACTAGCTTTCGTATACTACAGTAGCGAAGCATTCTTTATTTCTACCGCCCTCCGCCCCCCACCACCTCGAATAATACTGTCATCCTTACTATATGTGGATCCAGGGACACCATGACTAAATGGTGGTATAGATGAACACCTTTGAAGTCAATTCTCAATTCTGTTGACTCAGCATATGTTCCTTTGAAGTCCCTTGCCAAGACACTATTTGCCCAAACGGTTGCATTTCTGCATTACTATCTGTGTTAGTAAAAGTTGCTGATCGATATGGAAGTCACTGGTCTCCCACACACCTGTACATGTGACCTTGATGAACTCACCTGGCCTTCGGAGTCCTCCTGTTTGTTTTTTTTTTGTCACAAAAACCAACAAAACTGCCAAACTTACATATTTACGTACATCTGCTAAGCTGTGCTTACCCGTCAGAGCATTCAACAAGTCTCCAGAAGACAGACAGGCTTGGTGTAGATTTCGGGGGTGCTTGCAGACCTCCCAGGTTCACTTCTTGTCATTTGACGTTCAGTGTTGTCCCCTCAACATTATCCCTCAATCCCATTTCTGGAAAAAAAAATGTATTGCTTTTGTATCCGTTGCATGGTCTCTTTCAGTCTTCTTCATCCTGGTCTCCTGTTCCAAAAGAAACTCAACCTTCTCGTTCATATATCCCTGTATAGTGCTGAGCTCTTCAACGAGAGCCGTGTAAGGAAAAGTTGAGGGTGGAAAAAAAACACACTACATTTTCTGGTTATGCTGCCAAATTAGATTAAAAAAACAACAAACAATAGACTTCACGTTTAACATATAGGAGATGGCTGTCCCTCTTTGCTTTGCTTTGCAGATGTGGCTTTCTGTCTGTGTGCTGGTGGAGCAGCTGAATGCAAAATTGCTACATTTGAGAAGAGGTTTTAGTTCCTCTTCAGACCTCCCAGATTGCTCAGTAGAACCGGCTTCGTTTTCTGAGCTTCTACTACCACCCTGTGGTAGAAAGTGGTATTGCAAGTGCTCAGGCGCTGCGGTTTTCGTAATGAATGACACGTATGGAATCAAATGCGTTACATAACATGTATTTTAACATGAGATTTTATTTAATAGAAAGGGAACTACACACTTCTGCCGCGCAGTTTAACAAATTTGATCAGTAAGCATCTTGACTCGTCTCGTGGTTACATGAAATCGCCCGCTTTTCATTTAATAAATTGCTTAGCATATGGCAAGTAGCTTCGATAATTGCAGCATAAAGGTGTATTGTCAAAGTCCTTTAAATAGCTTTGTGATGGTTTAAATATCCTACTAAATCGCTCCATTTGGTGAGTATTCAGTCGTGCGAGCGGTAACTATGTTCATTTCGCCCTGTAAACTAGACGCACTATTAAGAGTTTACTGTGCACCGACACGGGCAACAATGAAACACCCCCCACCTAGTTCACTTCCTTGATGTATTTTACTTCCTCTGTATTTTTTAAATTCACACCACCGACTGCCTGCAATTCTGTAATTGTAGTGTAATTGTAATTCTGTAATATCCTCAACCCCCCATGTCTTTTATGTGTTCCCGTCCTGCAATACAGGTTGCAATTTACGTATTGTATGCAGGCGATGCCCCCGAAGGGGTTTGACTGAAGAGGTTTGTGGGGGGGGATCTACCCCCCCCCCCCCCCCCAGACTCCTGCACCCTCCCCACCCCTTAAAACCCACGCTGCGACCCGAGAGACAATACTTCAGCTTGGCCTTGGCAACCGTCGCCTCGCCTGGCAACGGGGGGGCGCTGGTAGGAGCCGGTGTTCGGCGAAACAGCTGCGAGAAGCGACGGCTCTAATGGTCTATAAATAAATTAGCGTGTGTGGCAGCTATTTGTCAGATTCATTAAATGTAATGGCGGCCTTATATCGTTACAGTCGGGTGCACGCGCTGTAGCCCTCATATAAAACGCTCCTCTGATGTAAGCGTGACCTCCTACCCAGTGTGGTCTGATCCCCCCCCCCCAGCCCCCCTGCCGCCGTGTTATCACTTGTCCGCATTCCAGTTATGCTATTATTGTCAGGAGAGCTCTACCTCATAAAAACATTTATGCACCTACATGCATAATGTATATGAAACTGGATCTACATTAAATAAGTTAAAGCTCTGACACATTTATTCTCTGACAGCAGCACGTAGACGTGTGTCCAGAGTGAGATCTTCACCCTCCTTGGGGTTGGATGGCATCCCTGTGGTTAATGCCTTTCTGAATAGGTTCCGGAGTGTGTGTGTGTGTGTGTTTGTTTGTGTGTGTGCCTTGGAGAATGAGGTTATTTTTTTGGCTTGGGAGATGAGAGACAGGACCCTGGGTTGGGGCAGGCAGGGCAGGTGGCCAGGAGAAGGTGGTAAGTGGGCACCAGGGACTTAAGACCTACCCGTCAGAGAGGCTAAACTGCACCTGAGACCTGTTACTGATCTTCACCCAGTGAGTGGGTGTCTATTGGCAAAACACCACAGCGTAAACCCCTCCCCCTCAACAGCCATACCCGTACGCCGTATTAGTGTGTGCTTGTACGTGCTCCGTTTTAGCGTGCGCGGCTGTCGCCGAAATTTCGAGCGTATGTTTATATATGAGCGTATGTTTATGTATGTTTGTTTGCTTGTCTTGGACGGACCGCGGTTATTGCCGCAGTCCCGGGGCTCGTCCTGTGAAGCCAGACTCGGGGCAGCATGCTGATGGGCTGTGTCTTTAGCGACGTTGTCCCACTAAGAATCAGGAAAGCTTCGAAACCGGCTCCATTCCTTTCACCGTCCGGCTGGCGAACTGCACAGTAGAATCACAGCAGAGTAAATCGCAGCTGGTTTTCTCTTCTGCCAATAAACACTGGCTCCTAATGTTACTCTGCCTACAATCCATTGAGCTCTTTAGCTGAATTCAGGGAGCTATATGTCTAAGTGAACACTACTATGAATCCATTGCATGAATCATATCACCCCACATTGCGGAAAGACTGCAGTCAAAGAAATTCATTTACATTTCTGAAACACATTGCAACTTATTTCGCACAATGGCATTACTGCAGGTGACCTGAATACAATACACAGACACAAGAATGACAGATTCACTTCCTGTGTGAAGGCTGAGCAATTGGTGCCCTATTGTGTGCTGCGTCCTCTGTTCGCTGCGTACCTGAAACAGCATTGTTCTCCGAAGAAATTCAGTGTCTCTTCAATGTGCAGCGCCTGATCCACCCTGGAACACAGGGCTTTATAATATAAAACAATATGATTGATTTCTCGGAACTGAAAACATTCTTTGCCTGTCACATTTTTTTAATTGTGTAATTAATTCAAATAATGACATGATGAATGAAATAAGGAGTCTTCATTTAATAGTTAAAAGATAGGGGAGATATTTTTGTCTTTGTAAACAGTACAAAGTTGACTCTGCTGTCTTTAATGCTCAATATCTTTACCACTTTAATATTTAGTCACCCCAGTAGCTTACCTGCATTTTTTCCCCATGTTTCTATGCCAGTAGCACGGAAGATTCCGGAATGTGTGGGTGGCCTGAGGTTTAGTCTCCATGTGTCCCTCTGTATCCTGTCCCTGGGTGACATTCTCAGGAAACTGGGCTGGGGGGCCGCACTTGGATCTGAGCCGATAAGGAGCCAAAGGACAACAGCGTCTATGAGGCAAATCTTTAATGAGAACAAAAGGGGGTCCATGGGACCTTATGAATGGGAACGAGGGATTTAGCACTAACCTGGGGCACAGCAGGGGTGGATACCCTGGCAGATTGGGGGGGGGGACAGTATTTACACTTTACTAACTCCTGCCAGCGATGTAGGGGATAAATTGACTTGTGCTGCTGACCCTGTTGTTAACGGCACTCTGCCATTACTGGTTATGTCAGCCCTTAAACACAACCTGTAGCTCTGTATTCTGAATTGTATATGTGTCCAAAATTCACACTGCAGTGTATCTGCAGTATGTACAGTAATTATTATAAATTATTCTTAGTTAATCTATCTATCTATCTATCTATCTATCTATCTATCTATCTATCTATCTATCTGCAGGGGCCCTTGAATATGTAAAATTATTAAATTGTATACCCAAGGTATCATTTATAAATACTGACACAGTCGGGGGAGTGAGGGGGGGGCAGATTTTCTCCCTACACCCGTGTTGCTAACAAAGTAAATGCAGTTAACATGGTGGACATGGTTAACAAATCAGAAGTTCCCAGTTTCCAACAGAACAACCATACATGCTAGAATTTATCTGTATGTTGTAGCAGAGGTGCCGTTTTATATCAGGAAATGTGCAATAGATGCAGGTGATGAAAACAATAAATTTACATGGGCAAATGTTAGTTATTCTGGTGCTATGGCTTGATGAAGCCCGCATGATTAACACAGCAAAAGCGGGGCTGGGATATCTGAAAGGGGGGTCTGATTCCTCACCAGGCCAAAATAGACAAGATGGCGGGGGGGAGGGGGGGGGGGCGGAGTCAGAGCACGTCCAAGATTGGACGGGAGGCAGGGAGGGGCTCAAGGACCAAAAACAGCTGAGAGCCAGCTCCCCTGTAAGCCAAAGGCCAAGTCAAATGCTACCCAGTAGTGCCGGCCTATCAGTGGCAGCCTGGAGTGTTGACAGACCAATGGGAAACCAGAATGCCTGTCAACTGGGCGGGGCCCAACTTCCCGTATGATATCAAAACAGATCTGTGAGTCAACAGAGCAGAAAAAGAAACGCTCTTATTTGAACATTATATTAGGCTTTGTTTGCCTCCCAAACATTGTTTGTGCCTGTTATATCCTGGAGTTGGCCTCCAGTCTGATGTGAACTGTGACACCTGCTTTTGTGTGACCCGCTTGACCATGACGGACTTGGTAATTTTCCTGTCTGATCTTATCAGAAAGCCAATTAGGAAAGAGGAAAATCATTTAATCACCAGCACAACTGCCCATGCATAACATCTGAACCATAAGCTTCAGTTTGCCAGGCTATGAAAGCTGTCCTAGCTTAGCCCATACAACTGTGATCCGTGTTTCAACTTCCGAAACATTTTCAGTGTTTTCTGAGGTACTTGGTTGTTGTTCTTTTTGTAGATAATCAGCTCTTGCTCCAATTCTGCTTCAATTTGTTCGGGAGAACTTACGCCTAGTTGACTCCTTGACAGCTGTATGCCAGTAATGTGCAATTTGCTTCACTTGTATTTTGCTTCGCATAAAACGCGTCTGTTAAATAAAGTATATGTAAACATGAACATAGCCTACTGTCAACTGTATTCGAATAGCTGACTTCCGACGGTTCTAAACGGATTGCTAATTATTCTGAAGTCGAAGTACTTCCCCACAACTGCGCTCAGGCGTAAGACCAGCGCCGACGTGGCCCAGAGCGGCATTCAAAGCCGATGTAAATGTACCCGTAAGAGAAGACGGCATCCACAGCCCGACACCTGCAGGGCGAGGAGACAAGCCGGTTTAACGAGACACACAAGCCGTATGTCGTCTCTCTGCAGGTGGGAAGCACCGGATACCTGATCCCATATAGCTGTTTAAACGGAGACTTTATGAGAGGAACATTTTTGGGAGTCTCGATCTAACCCGGGTAATTGAATATAATATATTTGGATCATATTGTATAATAACCTGAGCACCTATTTTGCCAGGTAAGAAAAATAAATAAATACACACACACACACACACACATTTATATATATGTATATATATAGTTTTGGAGCGATAGATGCGTTCTTTAAGGAATTTGTATAGGGTTGCATTTAGACCTCTTGCAAACTGATACTTGTGAAGTAGAAAATGGCGGTTATTCCCTTTGTAATAATTTCTTATGCAATAATTACGGTTTAAATGCAACAGAACCTGAGAAGCTGCCAACGCGGCCGAACGCTGCGCTTTTTAATTTGTTTTTGCAGCGGAAACCTTGTACTTTGCACCGTAACCACCTTGTGGACAGTTATTGTCATTATTGTTTATTTAGTTTAATATTTGCCAAAAATCCTACTGAAAGACATTCTAAATTTGCTTTTATTCTAGAAGTTTTTAGCTTTAACGTGTCCATTGTAGTGATCGTCTCTGGGCGTAAACGTGGTCTAAGAAGCTAGTTGTTATTTTTAATGGACCACTAACTATCTTGTCTAATATTAATTATGGTTATTGGCAGTGATGTTGTCTCCATCACGTGGAAGCTCTCGTTACTACATTATAAACTTTTTCACAATACAAAATATCCCGACGCAGGTAAGTACGAATAGAAGGTGAAATCAGAAACATGAAAATTGTGGTTTTGTGTTGAGCTTTAGTGACGGATTGACTCACTCTCCAGGAAAAAAAAACAGCGAAACATTTTGAAATATCTTTTATTTACACGAACGCATCGCCCCTGTCAAAATAAAGACCTCGGTTCTGGCTTAATAAGCAACAAAATGCATGCGCAACAATTCTTAATACTGACACAGCATTTCCTGCTATGGCAGCCTGACCAGACCCCTCCGCTAGTTATTTAGTGATTCTTTCCAATGTATCTCGTGTATAATTGCCATAATTGCCCCCTAATGGTGTGAAAACCCCACATCACATGTAAAGAAACTCATCTATTACAGTATGACTCAACAAATCCCTGTAGGCCGTACATTTACAAATAAATATATATTGAAAGGCCACTCTTAAGCTAACAGCCATAAAGACATACTTCAGTATAACCCAGCAACACCAGTGCAATTAATTTATTTATCAGTTTGTTAGTACATCAGTATCTACTAGCTGTAGCCACCTCCCAAATTAATTCCGTTGACTGTGAAAAGTGTCACATTAGTGGTTATACTGTTCTTTAAAATATATTAAATAAATAAAAGAGGAAAACACTTAAGCAGTGTTAAAATGTCGCAATGACGTGCTATTTTGTAAACTATGTTTGGCTCGGAAATAACAATATAGGTGCAGCAATAAGCATAACTTAAAAGGAACTGAGAAAAGATCATTTTTTTTTGGTTGCCTCGGATGGACTCCCTGAAAAACCAGTGAAACATGAATTGCTGAGTTACTGTAATGTGTAGGCCTATACACTCATCTAAAGGATTATTAGGAACACCATACTAATACGGTGTTTGACCCCCTTTCGCCTTCAGAACTGCCTTAATTCTACGTGGCATTGATTCAA